ACACTACTTAACGTCGGAATGAAAAATAAAAAACGTGATCGGTAGATGGGCTCAGGAAGGAGAGGAATTGAAATCCAGCAACAAGTTAAGTTCCTGCGGTTCCTTTGTCATTTGTGTCTTATGACATTCATTTGTATATTATTACTAGTGTACAAGAGTTGGGAAAGTTCGGAATATTTCAGATAAAAAATAATAATAATATTATATATATATATATATATATATATATATATATATACACAACTTTTCTTTAATCGACATTTGTGTATTAAATTTATTAGTGAACTTATTCCCAATTAAATGGTTATATATATATATATATATATATATATATATATATATATATATATATATATATATATATATTCTTTTACCTGTTTATCTTTAATTTGAAGGACTCCTTGTCTTAGGCCGACCGACAGCCTCACTCGATCGAAACGTCTCTTTATAACAGTCCAATAAGAAATCAGCCTAAGACAAGGAGTCCTTCAAATTAAAGATAAACAGGTAAAAGAATATAAGACCTCAATCTGTCTCTCAAAGAGGCGCGAAAGATTATATAAGGATGTTTATATATATATATATATATATATATATATATATATATATATATATATATATATATATATATATATATATATATATATATATATATATTAAGAAGACAGAAAAATAAAATAAATAAAAAAAAATCATGATGTACTTACAAATTTATTAAGAATAATTGATTTTAAGCATACATAAGGTTCTTGGCATTTCAATTAACCTCCACACTTTTATCATATTTTCATTTTTATAAATACTAGTTAATGTTTCGGGACACACTCTCAATCTTCAGTTCTTTACTGTTCGGAGTTTGAAAAAATATATTCAGGAATTTCGCCGTTCGATTTCTTTATTTCTCCTCTTTTCCATGTGTGTTGATATAAAACAAATATTATTTTCTGATTAAAGGTCGCGGATAAATAAAATTTAAGATTAGGAAGATTCTAGAAGAAAGTACTTGACTCTTTATTACACACAAAACATAGGATAAGTGGAAAAACTTGTGTTGTAATAAGTAGCCTGGCATAAATCGAAACTTGTTCTTTTGTTACCAAATCTAAATTATTTATCTGTAGTTTCTCGAATCAGACTGTATGTTGTTTTCGAAGACTAACAAAAAAAGAAATAAGTAAAATAATAAGTGGGGTTCTATTTGTGTTTCTTGTTTTGTATTTCCAGAGAAACAAACAGAGTCTCATTTCCCCTTTACTTTAAACTTTAATATTAAAAAGTTCCTTAAAAATATTAAAAAGATGTAAAAGAAAATTTAAAAATACGTACGATTGGTCAATCGTACCATTGTACCAGGGATCATTTAGTTCAACATAATTCAAGAAACAAAAAAGTTAACCAATGTCTAAAAGTGACACTAGCTCTAATCCAAACTTCCATGAATTCTCTTAGATTTATCAGTTACTTGAGGGAAACAACCAGTGTTGCCCAAATGAGAGACCGAGACAAGTCTTAGTCTTGCACAAGAGTTTCGCAACAGTCTTGCAGTTACTTATTATCCTATTACTATAGAGATATTACTGTATTTTTTTAGATATGAGAAACCTAAGTAAGCCTGAATGAAAAATTAGAGGAGTTAAATGCAAAAGTATATTGGTTATGCCAATTATTAACATATAGTAACTAAGATTGTCAAGTATTAATAACTGTTTCACCTTAATTTTTATTTAAAAATTGATTTTTTTTTTTACCAGTCCTGGTCTTGGTCTTGGAAAGTGCTTAAGTAAACACTGCTTTAGACTTTTCGAAAGCGACCAAATAAATCATGCGGTTGACTCTAGGAGCAACCTACAAAAACTAGACTAGAGAAATTCACGTTCATGTTTCCCATAGTTTGTGAAATGTGTAAACGCGGCTCTAGATTTGTCGAAATAGGACAAATAAATTATCCGGCAGACTGTAGGATTAATCTACAAACACTAGCCTAGAGGAATACCCATTCGTGTTTTCCATAGTTTGTGAAACGTGTAGACGCGGCTTTAGACTTTTCGAAAGTGACCAGATAAATCATGCGGCGCACTCTAGGACTCTAACCTACCATCAAAAAGCAATTCCCCCCGACTGGACACGCCGCCATGACAGCGGTGGAAGAAGAAAGTCTATCCCCCTCCTCAACCTCTTCCTCTGGCTATCTTCTAGGGTCGGAGGATCGAGGCGATTAAGTCATTATGTGTTAAGTAAGCCGGGAGATAATTGGCGGGAGCCCTGACGCACTAAACACAGAGCCGCTAAGGAGACACTCTCTGATCTTCTTCTCTTGTTAAACCAGGCAGGTAATGGGGCAGGTGTAATGGTTCCTAAATATACATTCTTCCGAGGGGAAAGAAAAAAAAACAACCTCTTGGCATTATCCCTTCCGATCGGGAGTACTGGGAAGGTATGCAGTCTACGGGAATAAATACAACACTGTTCGCAAAGGCCGTCTTCACACTATTGGCAAACAGTTTGCCAAACTATGCATATTATTATCACCATTTTTTTTTTGCTATAAAAAATGTATTTCCAAGTGGCTACCAAACAATTAAAGTAAAATTCCCTGACTTTTCCATATTTAATGATAATTTTCTCTGACCAATATGTCTGGGGACATAAATATTAAAAATGTATTATTTATTATATACAACTACAATCTTTTCAATCTAAAATTTTAAGACTAATAACTGCAGATCCCTGGTATGTTAACAAGACTTTACATACCGACCTAAGACAACCAACCATACGTACTCTTTACTCCCGATTTCATCTTAAACTACACGGACATCACAATGGACTTATCAACATGACCACGGCTGAAATGCTCATCAGGAGGCGACTGAAAACTAGCTGGATGAGAGAACTCTTTTCCTGATTTTAGGATTTAAACAGACTAGGGAAGAGGTGCTGCTGGCTTCCATTCTTTGTCATGCCATTTTTCACCTAACAACAAATCTGCTAATTGTCACTACCATGACAGGTGCGGATGAAGAATCAAAGAAAAAAAAATGTATTATATATGGAAGGAAATTAACTACAAAATGATTTGAATAAAAAAAAAATCAGTCTTTTAAATAACAATTATAATGTTGTTAGAGAAAGTATTTTTTAAGCTTCATAAGGATTTTTTATTTTAGAAAACTAAACATTTAGTAATTTATTTTTATCACTTTTATTTTATTTTCATCAACTGATATAGGAGGAGCTCTAAACATATAAAGCTCTAATTTTCTCTATTATAAAATAATGTTAGGATTCTAATATTAATGTAGTTTCACATTAGTAATTTAGTTTCTTTATTACAACAAATGCTTGCCAGCCAGTTCTTGGCCCAGACGTGTATATTACAAATAGTAAATAGTATTGGTATATTTTTCTTTTAAAAAATATTGTTTTAAGTACCCTTTTTAGATATCAATATGACGACCAGTGCCGTTATATACAATCAAAGGTGGATGACAATAGTGATCGTGGTCGTTTATAACGTTTATATATATTATCAAGTTTGCCCCTTAAACCATATCCACTGTATATTTATTTCCAATTTAAATAAACAAAACAAAAATTCTCTGAATTTTCTGTTTTTAAAATTCCTTCACTTTTCCCATTTTTACAGATCGGTCGCCACCCTGTGAGCACCTGTCAACTTTTTGTTGATAATCAGCAAATATGTGAGATACACGAAGTAATGGCATGAAAAGCATAGAGAAAGTGGATAGTACTCAGCACCAACACTTCCCTGACTTGTTTCAATTACTTAGGTTGTTTAAGGAAGGAGATCTCTCGTCCAACACCTTTTTAGTCTCCTCCTCATGTCCTGAGGTGTCAGCTGTGACCATGTGTCTTATTAGTCGCTTCAGCCCGAAATATTTTTTTTCATATATATAACGATAATTACTTTGGAAAAACAAAAAGATACTAACTACCTACATGAAATGGTGTTTAAGTGATTCTTTAAGTGCTATTATATTTAATTAAACGAGCAATAATACTTTAAGACATATTTTTTACCATAATTCATGGTTACATTTTACCATTTTTTTGGGGGGGGAGGGGGAGGAGCTTCAGCCCTAAAGCCCTCAAATCGTAGATACGCCAGTGTCTGTTATAAATTAGCGTAAAATCGTTGGTAAAGATTCGTTATATGTTGGTCAACTGTAGGAAGGTGGAGGTCAGTATGTAGAGTTTTTTGGTCACGTACCAAGGAGCTTTGAATTTTAAATGGGGTAAAGTAAAATATTTTGAATGGCTTGTTAAGCGCCTTATGATTCATTTTTACATGCGGGATCCTTCTGGATGTGTAAGTCCAAGATAAAGTACAGTGTCCGTTTGAGAAATTTGATTTTTGTCAATAAAAACTAGATGCTTCGTGATGCTTTAAAAATGGTTAATACATTTTTTTTATGTTATTATTTTATTAACTGTATCTTTTTTTTTCTTTTTCCCTTGAAATAATGTAAATACATTATTACTACTATAAATATATTGCTAGGAGAATTTGCTAGGGGTTGTAATTACACAAAAAATATATTATAATGATAATTCTCTCTGTACTTATGTTTTGGGAAAAAGTTGTAGGCCTTTATCAGAGCTGTTCGTTCAACTCGTCCTACATTTTTAGGACCAATATACTTGTACCAGACCTAAATATTTAGGCCGAAACACTAGTATATAGAAATTAATTTGTTTTTAGGGTTTTTACCTTGACTGCTACTGCCAACCATTACAATTAAATATATTGCTGAAAGCGTATACAATTTTTTATTTAATATGATTGACTTTTTATAATTCAATTAACATTTTTCCTGATCTAGGTGCTTAAGATCGAAAATATAAAACGATTTGAAAGTCGATTATTTAACATTCGCTAAGATAACGATAGGAACCTTCATTTTTATTTCTTGATCAAGGTAATCTATAAACCAGGAAATCGAGTAAACAAGAAATAAAACATGTAAATATTTTTTTTTTTAAATGAAACGCAGCGAACTGACGAAAGAGATATTCTTGGCGAAGCGATAAATATATTTCAACCGTAACAGAGTGACGACGTCGAGAACAAGTGCCTCCTGGATCGTGCAGAAACCGGATGAATGGACTTCCTGAGCGGGAAAAGCGATTGATTTCCTGTCCCGAGTTTTAATTAGAGCCAACCGCCGCTCTCTCGCCAAATATGGACGTCGTTCGTGTTGCCCTTGAAGGAAGATGGACTGTCTGAGGAATTGGAGTACCGCTTCGCGAGAAATAATTGATCCTCTTCGTAACGAGAAGGATTTAATGGGGCGTCTTGGGAGAACATACTAAGGAAGCATCTATCCGTAGGAAATATTGTGTACCCATCAGCAGCACTAGCCACTAACGGATCCAGGATTTAATCCTGGGAGGGCTCAGCCCGTAAGTTTTATATATATGACTGTGTGTGTATATATATACAATATATAAACATAAACGAATTTTATGAAAGCTATGGATTAAAATATCTCAGAAACCAAAAATCAGACCTGCATACTGTAAGTGAGGAAAATGTCCAGCATTTCATCGCCTTTATGAGCTATTATTTATAAATTATATTTTATACTATTAATCTCGTCTTGCTTCCTTATCACAAAATTCAAAACCATCTTGAGTATCATTAAGCATTTGGATTCCGTATAAAAACCAGGGAGCGAATCCACATATTTTAGTTTAACATTTTCAATAATGAACTATTGTGATCGACCGAAAAAATTCAAAAACTAAACCGCCTTTAAAATTTGAGGTTTCACGTTTCAGGATACGTAGAATTCGAAAAACGAATAAAAAATTTCAGAGCTCACCCGAGGATGATCCTCCTTCACCAACATTACTATCTGCCTTTTATTTTCAAAATGGCGGCCAAAAAACCTGCGTCGCTATAGGCTGTAACGCCTAAACGAATGTACCTATTTCAATGAAACTTCCCTAAAGTCATTTTCTCGACGACCTTTAAATTGATCTGTATAACATACGAGGATTGTAAAAAAAAATTTACGAGGGATTGTAAAATTAAATTCCGAATAACTCAAAAAGTATATACTTTTTTGTTGTTGGTTTTTTAAAAGTTTACTGGATTTCCTAGAAAAAAAATCCTAGTTTTTTTTTTGGTTGTTCTACTGCAAATATTATATCCTTTATGTTTTGGTTATTAATGCTAACTTTTTCAGCATATTACTATAGTTTAGTCCAATAATTGAAATCACCTTTTATTTATTTTTCTTAGGAAGGTAATATTACTTCAGATGTATAATTGTTTGGAAATAATAAACCATTGTTTTTTATTTGGAAGTGACCTCAGAATTTACCATAGAAATATTACCACATCTGTGTAGAAAATTTTTAATAAATCGGTTATTCTACTACTGAATAAATAATAATTTATTTAAATTTATTCACGAGTAAGGGCTATTTGTAAGTATATTTTAAACAAACGTATTTTTTTCTCAATGTTTATTTCGGAAGAGGAAATAAATTTCCATCTACAAGTGGATTCAATACTATATAAAACAGGATTTTTTATTTATCTTTGCTGCACGGCATTAAGAAGTTAAATCAATAATATTAAAAAATTAATGTTTTTTTTTTTGCCAATTCTAAACAAAACGTTTAGAGCAGTAGGTCATCTCGATGATAAATCTGAGCAACGATGATACTAACGTATTTTTACATGAACTCGTAGAGAACACAGCTGATTATGAATCGAACAGTTTAGCAGGATCTTGCTCCCCAGACCTAACCCCCCATAGAGCCACTTGTTCGGAATGATCCATCGCTAATGCTCGGCATATGGAGCCTGGATTAGCAGTGGATCCGAGGATCAGTCGGGTTGACCACATTAATCAGCTCTCCATTTCAGGAGGAACTGACCCATCTCTACAGTACCTCAGCCTGTTCTATTTCACTATTTAAGGATTTAGTATGTGCTAATAAATTAAAGCTAACAATAACAAAACATAAAATAATTTAAGCCTTCTTAACTATAGTTTTTTTTTTGTTAATTAGCCAATTAAATTTCATGATTTTTATTTGCAGAAGAAATATTTTTGTTTTAACGTTCTGGTTTCAGAAAAAACACTGCACAGTTTGTAAATATCATTGCAATTTAGATGGACTATTTATTGAAGTTTTAGGTTTCATAATATGAGGACTATAGCCTAATATATATATTCACATAAACCTAATACTTCCTGTACTACAGTATCCTTTAATAATACTCCACGTAACCCTGTTGAGCACTCCACCTGGACAAACATCTAATTTGGAATCCTCATACCAGACTGAAACGACAAGAAACCGCCCGACGTTTCAGACTACTTCAGCATTTAACCAGACAAACGCTCTAACCTTTCAATTAATTACAAAAGACTCATATACATGACCATAATAAGACTTGGGGCTCCACTAAACCATCGAATTCCTATCGTATCCAATCTTTACAATTCAAAATCCTTCGTAAAATCCCTCATTACATTGTAACAAATAAAATGATCCATAATGACCTGAATGTTCCATATGTTTTCGAATTGGCCTAATCCAGATATCTATCCTTCCATAATAAACTTCAGAACCATCCTAATCCTCTCGTTTCTAACCTTGCTTCATTCTCGATCCCTGATAATCCTCCTAGGCGTCTGAAAAGAAAATGGCCTCGTGATCTCCTAATTTAGATATTTCATTAGAATGCTAGCAATGGGTAGATTATCTAGAAGGCTTGTCACGTCATATATTTCTTTGTATCACATTTGCTGAATGTATATTAATTTGTACAGTTGTAAATAAATATTCATATAATATATGTATTAATTAAGCGTATATATATACGCTAGCACAGCTTCTAATAAATACCACATGTAATTACTACAAATGAAACAGAGTGACAAAACTTTAAATTGTTGAAAAAAAAAACAAGAAAAAAAACTGTTGTTAAGAAGTAATTTAATAGTGTAAAGAAGTGTCAATAGGACAGTTAAATTTCATGATTTTCATTCACATTTCAATAGCAAAACTACAAAAATTTGCAAAAATAAAAATTTTCGATACGACTAAATATAAACCGAGTATTATTTTACAAACTAGATTTTTCACTCAATATTTACTGCGAGCTTAAGACCAAAATATAACGTATTAAATAACGTTTTTGGTTTAGAATTTTGAATATAGGCGAGACGAAGATTGCTCAAAGTTTAAAACAGAACGTTCGAATTAATTTGTACTTGACAAGCTTTAGCAGTGTGGCTGTCGATATACTGTTTTTTCTCACAAGCTAGTGGACAAACTGTGTCGACATAAGTCGACTCCAGTAAGCTTGTTTTGTCACTCCGTTTCACGTATAGCAGTTCTATATATTTATGAGAAGAACTGTGTCAGCAGAATAGTTTATAAATAATGAAACCTAAAACCTTCCTCAATAAACAGTCTATCTAAAGTAAAATGATATTTACAAACTATATTGGTAGTTTCTGAAACCAGAAAGTTAAAACAAAAATATCTGTTTTGCTTTATATATTAGCATAGATCATAGGCGGGGAATATTTTAATCATTAGAAGCCGCATTTAAGTTATGCAGTGAAAATAAATTTGTTTTTATTTAACAGTGAGTATTTTTATTTTTTTAAACCATATATATATATATATATATATATATATATATATATATATATATATATATATGTATACGCACGCACACACGTTTACATACAACGCACACATCGATATAATTAATAATAATTAACATCAAAAACTAACATACTGCAGGTTACTAACTTATGGTATCAACAGTATTATAATTATTAGTTTAAAATGATTCCTACTGAATTAAACAAATATTTTATAATAACATTCATCTTACCCAGCTTTAAACATCACCTGCTAGTTTCAAACATCACCATTGAAACATATTCCACGAATATTTAGCTATCAATTAACATGAACATCAACTAGACATTAACATACACATATCGCACATGTTTAAAGGTCATCACATATAATTAATTATTACAACATACAGCGAAATTACAAGGAAGTTTTAGTCTTAATATTTAATCATCGCTACAATCCATCAATCCTGACTTTTAACCTTATTATTATGATTAACTAAGAGAGACAAAATAATTAAGTAACATCTGCTCGGGTTCGAATCCCGGAGCAGTAGGCTAAATGCTCCCTTGACAGAAAATTAGTGGGCTTTGCCAGCAGAGACCTGTGGTTTGACAGGTGCTTTCCGGCCCAATCTACTCTTTAATGAATACCTGACATTATCCGGGGGATAAATAAGGTACTGGGGCATAGATCATACAACATTCGAGAATCATATTACTTTTTCAGTAATTTTTATTATTATTATTATTATTAATTTTACGAACAAGAAACTAACATATTCTGACCGGAGTAGAAATATAGAGATTCATTCCCTCACAAAATAAATTAAATAATTTTAATAAACCTGATTTGAATTGGAGGTCTTAAAACTCTTGACCAACACGGCTTTATACTTTTTCAGTAGTTAAGTACTGAAATAATTTATATATATTTTTAAATAAATAAATTTATGAAGTCACAATACCTTCGTCGTATATTGGAAGAGGTCAAATATGAGAGTAACGTGAAACATTCTACCTCTAATGGATTTAGCAAATAGTAATAATTCGTTATGCTATCTTGTCTAGTTTTAAAAAAAGTATGTAGAGTGTAATTTTATTTTATTATCCAATGTATCTATACCATAGATAAAATAATTAATATAATATAATTAATAAATAGATATCTATAGAAGGCACAGGTGGATTCATGGGTGCTTTCAGACTGACGCTCCTTAAAATAAAATAATAATTTTTTAATTTGTCTAAATTTGTATCTAAGAGTGACCTGAGTCAAATACATAACAATCACAATATATTTATATTTTAGTAATAATAAGAGTATGCATTTAGATATCATGGAATGAAGTTCAATTAGCTTTTTTTTTTGTCTTGATGATGCCTGAATTGGCGAAAGGTGGACAGGTTTCTTTTCTTTGTCTGCATTTTGGAAACATAAGGCTGTGTGGGTTGGCATTTTTCCAAATTATAACGTAACATTTAATAATAACGTTCACCTTGGAGTTCTGGCAAAGGTTTTTATTTATTTATTTATTTTTTTATCCTGTCCCAGAGAGAGGGCATTATGAAGAGTGAAAAGTCCCAGCGGGTACCAAGATTTGAACTCAAACCGACATTAGCCCTATATATGGTATTAATCTGGTCTTACTTCCATATAATTATTTTTCAAATAACAGAACATGATATAAATAAATAAATAAATAATAAAACAATAATAACGTATGTACCTTAGTTACCAAATACACCACGTATTAAGTAAAAATATGTAAAAGTTTACCACCTGTCCTGTGTCCTGAGTCCTGAATCTACTACTGATTCAGAAGGTTTTAAATTTCGAAACTGAAAGTTTTAAATCAAACCTGAACCTATAGGTTTTTAACGTTAAATTCTCAATTCCGAAATAATTGATAGTTGGTAAGAAGGAAACTCAAAATCGAATTGAATGTTTCTATTCACAGAGCGTTTTTATTTTAGATTCCATCAAAGAAAATCATAGGAAAACCAAAATACAATAAATAAAAATAAAATTGTTTAAAATGTTAAAATTCTACATCTGGACTAATTTTACAGGATTTGGAATTTTACTACATCAAACATTCTCTTGATTGTTTTCAAAAAATATTTTACAATAAAAAAAATATTTTCTATTCTTATAGAATTGTTTTTTATATTTTATTTTTATCCACAGGTTAATTATACAAATAGTCAACAAGTGAGAAAAAATAATTAATGAAGAAATGTCAAGACTGTAAATTAATAAATTAACTTTTTATATTTATTGCTATTATTTAAATAAATAATAAAATAATAAATTGATAAATTTTTAATTGAATATTAGGAATTATGAGGGGGTAGTGTCAGTAACATACAGGGCCACCCTTAACAGCCCCATCCCACCCCAACCAGCCGTGCGTGAAACAAACGCTACTGCACGCCACAATTAATTAAAAAAAAAAGAAAAGGAAAAAAAGAAAGAAAAGGAAAAAAAAAAAAAAAGGAAAAGTAATAGTTTCATGGTCTAGTTGCCTTCGGGCGTCCTGGGTCAAAGACAAAAATAACAAACCAAAAAATCTTCATGTTGAGGTAGGTATAATACTAAAAAAAATAATTAAATAATCTTTGATCGGAATAATTAATTAGAATAATTAGATGAGAAAAATCGATAAAAAACTAAATGAATAACAAAAAATAAGCATTGATACGAGATCATTTAATAGAAAAATATTATCCAGGCTTTTTTGTATTTCCTTTTGATATTATACGAGGTTCCATACCTTATATATTTATATTTATGTTTCAGAGTTGAATCTCTATTTTAAAAAAATGTCTTAATCTCACACTTTTTATCGTCCATCTTTCTTATAATGTCTCCGTCTAATATAAATAATAAAATCACGCTGTAGTGATTTGACTTTAATTAAGAACTTTGACTCGAACTGGAAACATTTTTATTTTTGTATCATTAGAAATTCAGTTTTTATTTTTATTTTGTTTTTAAATAACGGTAATAATAACTACAAAATAATATTGTCAGATAGACATCATGTCCCAAATCGCATTTCTTTATTTTTTGTACTATTAAAACATGACCGAATTATTTTTTTTATTCATTAATTTAATGTTTTTTGTTAATTTGTTATTGGTGGGGTTTTACCTCAAAAGCGCTTTTGTACGTTGATGATCATTTACTTTGAATAATTTATTTCTGATAATATTAAATAAAATATTTTTTTTTCTTT